ACGTTTGCTTATGCACATACTTTGTTTTCAGTAATTGTGTCAGGAGTCATCACAGAATGCCAAGTTATTAGAACAAAGTGTTCTTGTGTTGAGGAAGTACTTGAGTAGAGGCTCAATATCCATCTGCTTCCTTAATACTAAACCTATAAAATATAGGCACATAGATCTACTTCCCCATCATCAGATATAAATATATTTGCATACGTACATGCCTGTATTTAGACCTCTATAAGTGTCCTTTCCCTTCTAGCTCTTTCCTCTATTTCCTTAGACGTTCCTCTTGTCCCACTTCATGCTCAGCCTTCATTCGGGCTTCAGTCATTCCTCTCGGTTACATTGCCCTTGATTAAACCCCACCAGGCATCCTATGCCCTCCTTGCCATCAATTTTAGGTTACTTGTTTTTCCCTTCTCCCTTGGTTTGTTAACTCCCACTTCCTTTCCCCTGCCTCCCCTCCCCCCAGCCATTGTTCCTGTTGCTTTCTAATCCAGATTGTTTATTGGAGCTTTTGTTTGGAGTCTCTCCTGTTTGGGTTTCCTTCAGCTTCTTGATGCATATCTCCTCATCTTTCATGATGTTAGGGACATTTTCTTTCTTTTAAAAAAAAATCATTTTATTGGGGGCTCATATAGCTCTTATCATAATCTATACATACATCATTGTATAAAGCACATTTGTACATTTGTTACTCTCATCATTCTCAAAACATTTGCTCTCTGGCTCATTTCTCCCCTCTCCCCCTCCCTCATGAACCCTTTATAATTTATAAATTATTATTATTTTGTCATATCTTACACTGTCCGACATTTCCCTTCACCCACTTTTCTGTTGTCCGGGAGGAGGTTATATGTAGATCCCTGTAACCGGTTCCCCCACTCTACCCCACCCTATTAGGGACATTTTCTTTCAAACAACTCGTCGACAGTTTTCTCGGATTTTGTTTTGTTTTTGCCTCTTCTTGTTCTGAAATCCTAAACTCAAAAAAAGATAAAAACCATACCCAATTCACTGCTATGAGTCGATGCCGACTCACAGTGACCCTGCAGGACAGGGTAGAACCGTCTCCGTGGCTTTCCCAGACTTAATCCTGCAGGCATAGAAAGCTCTGTCTTTCTCTGAGGAGCAGCTGGTGCCTTTGACTTACTGACTTGCAGGTAGCAGCCCAACAAGTGACCACTCTGCCAAGGGGGCTGCCAGTCACGCATGAGCTGTTCCTCTTGGTGGGGTCCCACACAATTCTTAGGCTTTCTTTGTTTTCTGATTGTTCTTCCAGCACAGTGGTTCTCAACCTGTGGGTCTCGACTCCTTTGGGGGTCGAATGACCCTTTCACAGGGGTCACCCAATTCATAACAGTAGCAAATTTACAGTTATGAAGTAACAACAAAAACACTTTTATCATTGGGGGGCCACCACAACATGAGGGACTGTATTAAGAGGTCGCAGCATTACAAAGGTTGAGAACCACTGTGCAGATTGCCATTGAGAGATTTGCGTTCAAGCTCATGAGTTCATGGGCTGGGGTTGGGAGTGGAGGCTGCAGTGGTGAGAGGTCTGGTCCTGGTTGGAGTTCCTGTCGGCCTTGGTGTTGTCTGAGGTCAGGGCACCTGACCCAGGAGTAGTTTGAGCCAGCTGAGGGTGGTTATGGTCAGCGTGCTTTTTCAGAAGGAACACTTTCGGGCCCTGAGCACAGCTGGGGCAGGGTGGATGGGTATGGGAGGAGCTTAGGGCTAGGAGTAGGCCTTCTAGCGGATGATCAGACCGTGAGTTTTCCGCCCGTCAGGTGGGGCCCCAGGAGCCTGATTCTCCAAGGCATGGCTCTGAGCTCAGGCAGAGCGGGGGCTGTGCAGGGCAGAGGTGTCACCGGCTCATGGTGGGTGAGGGTTGGGGTTGGATCCCCAGAATCATGGGGAACAGGAAGGGTCCCACCTGGCTCATCACGTCACAGGCCACGCTTTGTTGCCCAACTGCAGTCCCTACCGAAGGCAGCTTACAAAGTGCAAGATGGCTGTGCAGACTAGCCAACAAGCCACACGTCTGTCTCCTCTCTCACCGCTTTGGGTCAACTTCTTCTCCTTTCAGAAGGTTCCGAGACTGTAGATCTTTGTGGGAGCAGACAGCATCATTTTCCTCCCAAGGAGCAGCTTATGGGCTCGAACTGTTGGCTTTGACGTTAGCAGCCCAGCACATAACCCACTCTGCCACCAGGGTGCCCTGATGACCACCTACGAAAACCACACCATTAAGTTAATCCGGACTCCCGTCCGCCCTGTGGGACAGAGTGGAACGGCCCCGTGGGTCTCTGAGATGGTGGCGAGTCTTTCTGGCAAAGAGGAAGATGTGGTCTTTGACCAAAGTTATAAACTGTAGTCGGGGGTGAACAGAAGGGGCACCCTGGTGGCAAAGCAATTAGACGCACGGCTTCCGTCCGACTGCAGCACCGAGTCAACCTAACTTTAGAGACGCTGGGAAACCAAAGGAGTGGACGGGACCCCTCCATCGCCATATTCAGTGATCTGGAGCCACACCTGCTATGGCCTCCGCACTCACTCCCACGGCCTCCATTTAAGTCACCTGTGTGAGAACCCTTGGGAATGCTTACACCAGGTTCACTTGCTCATTGCCAAGGAGGTGGTGGGTCTAGAAGGCCGCCGTCCAACCAAAGCTCCTGGGGCTCAGCAGTAAAACGGTGGCCCGTGGGGGGTGACTTACCGGCGGCCTCTGACTGTATCCCACACAGGTTCCGAGCCACCATCTACCCCTGCCCGGAGCCCCCGGCCGAGCGCAAGAGCATGCTGGCGGACGTCAATGTGAGGCTGGAAGATCTAAACATCGTGAGTGTTGGGCGGGTGGAGCTGGAGTCCTGTCCCCCTGCGCTGAGCTCCCGAGGGTTAGGGTTAGGGAGCTGGAGGTCAGCATGGAGTGGCCTCCCATCAGTTGTACTGGGTTAGGGCAGAGTTTTATCACAGCTTCATCTGAGAAGCCCTTGTGGCACATGGGCTTTTAACTACAAGGTTGGCTGTTCAAGTCCATCAGCCTCTGCATAGGAGAAAGGTGAGGAAGTACTTCTGTAAAGAAACCCCAGAGGGCCTTTCTACTCGGTCCTAAAGGGTCGCTCTGAGTCAGAATTGACTCAGTGGAAGAGGGTCTGGTTTGGGTTATTTCCGTCTCTGTTAAAACAAACAAAACAAAAAACCACCCACTGCCTCAAGTGGATTCATGGCAGCCCTAGAGGACAGAGTAGAATCACCTCATGGACTTTCTCAGAGTCAATCTTTTTGGAAGCAGACTGCCACATTTTTCTACCCCGAGCGGCTGGTGGATTCGATCCACTGACCTTTTGGTTACCAGCCCAAGGTTTGGCTCACTGTGCCACCAGAGCCACTACCATCTGCTCAAAGGAGCCCTCTCTTGCTCACCTGCACCTTGGCCACATCAACAAGAGAGCCGACAGCCAACCAAGCAGAAAACCCAGTCTAACGGATTCTTCCCCACCCCCCCACCCCTGAGTCTCCCCGTAGTTTAGGCCGGGCAATTACTTTACGTCCAAATTTGAGCCTGGCTGCACCTTGCGAGGGAGCCCAGCCCAGCTTCTGTCCACTCGAAGAGCCCACGGCCATCAGGGCTCCAGCGGTGCGCGTGGGAGCAGAACACGCTTTCAAAGTTGTGAAGAGCAGCTGGTCCCACAGAAAACCGTAGATTCCGCGGCATCAGAGAACTTTTCTGTAGCGGCAGGAATGTTCTACCACCTTCTCAATCCACATGGCGGCCCGTGTCCCACATGGTTAGAAACCGACCCATCAAACCCACTGCCATTGGGTCATTCTGTCATAGCGAGGCTGCAAAGCCCTGTGAGAGAAGGTGGTCTCGTCTGTCTCCCTGCGTTCGAACCGCCTACTTTGAAGTTAGCAGCCCCACGCTAAACCCACTGCATTGCCATAGCCATTGAGCCCTTGAAACGTGGCCAGTGCAGCAACTGAGGGAATCGTGGATTGCATTTAAGTTTGACCCGGCTGCTTTGTCCGTAACAACGTTGTAGGTTAGCTCAGTGAGTTTGTTTGAAAGTTAGGCGCCAGGTGGTCAGACTTCTTAATGTTCCCAGGTGATATGTGTTTTATTTCTTGATTTAATGTACCTGTTGGGCTGCTAACCACGAGGTCAGCAGTTGGGGCCCACCAGCCGCTCCTCTAGGGAAGGATGAGCGTGTCTGTCTGCTCCCAAGAAGACGAACAGCCTCGGAGGAAAAAAGAGGAGCTGATACCAAGGGCTCAAATAGAAAGTACATGTTTAGAAAAGAATGATGGCAACTTAAGTACAAATATGCTTGATACAATGGATGCATGGATTGTTATAAGAACTGTAAGAGCTCCCAATAAAATGATATTTTAATTGAAAACATTTTTAAAAGATTAACAGCCTCAGAAACCCTAGGGAGCGTGTGTGTGCTGTCAGGGAGGGCCCGTGCGAGGGCAGTTGTCCGGGCTCCTTTGTCCGCCATCCAGGAGACACCATGTCCGGAAACAATCCCCCTGCAAGTACTTTCACCCTGCTGCCCCAAGCTTGGTCATTATTCAAAGGTAATGATTCAGTCATTAAATACTTTATTACCAAAGTAACATAAAGTGTTCTTCATTTATTAATAGGTTTTAAAATGATTTTGTAAAGCAGTTGTTCAGGTTAAAGATTTGCCCATTAAGAATGAAAGGGAAAAATCTATTTTAATATCCTTTTAGAAGTTCTACACATCCTATGATTCACAAACAAGTTCAACAGTTTCATGATTTCTATGTTAGGACTAACTCCATTTTTGACATTGCATGAAATCTGTGAGGGGATTAAAGAAATATAACCAGCTGCCATTCCAACCCACCTCACTCACTCACCCATCTACCCATTCACTCCCCCATTCACTCGTTCTTCACTCACTCACTCATTCACTCACTCACTTCACACTCACTCACTTTCCCACTCACCCATTCACTCGTTCTTCACTCACTCACTCATTCACTCATTCACTCACTCACTTCACACTCACTCACTTTCCCACTCATCCATTCACTCATTCTTCACTCACTGACTCATTCACTCACACTCTCACTCACTCACTTCCTCACTCACTCACTCTCTCACTCACTCACTTCCTCACTCACTCACTCTCTCACTCATTCACTACCTCACTCACTCACTCATTCACTTCCTCACTCACTCACTCACTGACTCACTCACTCACTCATTCACTCACTCACTCACTCATTCACTCACTCACTCATTTACTACCTCACTCACTCACTCATTCACTTCCTCACTCACTCTCTCACTCGTTCTTCACTCATTCACTCACTCACTCATTTACTTCCTCACTCACTCACTCTCTCACTCATTCACTACCTCACTCACTCACTCATTCACTTCCTCACTCACTCACTCGTTCTTCACTCACTCACTTCACACTCACTCACTTTCACACTCATCCATTCACTCATTCTTCACTTACTGACTCATTCACTCACTCACTCACTTCCTCACTCATTCACTCAGTCACTCACTCACTCACTCTCTCACTCAGTCACTCACTCAC